TATGGTCTAAACTCTATAGACTGGCAATAACCAGTGAAGCCCAATATTATCTGTGTCAATATTAGATGATTCGCTATAAACTGAAAAATCATAATTTTACTAAATGTATTGGGCCTTTGGGAGTGTTTATTTTTAGAACAAAACACCCAAAATCTCTATTGTGTAGCGAAACCCTGCAATTATTGGTAAACAGTTATACGAATTTCATTTAAAAGTTGGAAATATAATTTATCATTATCCGAATTCAAGATTATATAATGTCAAAATTATTAAAATAATAGGTATCTTATTACTTCAAGTTATTAAAATATGTAATTTTTTACAGTACGTGGTTGAAATACATTTAAAAATAAAAATAACGTAAATTGTAAATCATTACATATGTACATGTACTGATTAGAGTCGGGCAGTATTTGAATAACTTGTATAGGTAGTTTAATTTAAAATATTATATACAAAATACTTTATAAGTAGGTAATATTATACATTTTAATATAGTAGCTCAGAAAAAAACCAAGCTGTTCAGTTACAAAATTAATTTGAATTTATGGAATATTTAAATAATAAAAACATAATATTTCGTGCGTTCAAAACTATCAAAATATGAAACAGTAATTTATAAAATATTTAATAATATTTGATACAGATATTATATTGTTACATATATCATAATATAATAATTATTTTTTAAATATTGTTATTAATTGTTTTATGACTTTTATTCATTTTTATTATTATACATCTGGCATTAGTTTATTATAACCCATATTAATCTGTGGCATTCCTACTGGGCACTGTTATAAAATTTCAAAATTAATTAATCTAAAAAAACTAAAAATTATTATTTTTTTAACTCATATAATATATGAGGAATAGTAAGTTCTTACACGAGAGTAGCAGGTAAGCAGTTACATACGTTAATTCCTACACGGACATATGTAAGTTCCTACACGGTAAAAAACAGGTACGTATGTAAGTTCCTACACGACGGAAGAAGGTACTTACCTATATAAGTTCCTACAAGGTAAAAACCAGGTACGTATGTTAGTTCCTACACTGCGGAAAGGGTTTAATATGTATATTATACACAGACGTATCGTGTTAATAATAATATGTCCAGCCGTAGCTTACTAATATACTTCATTTAAAGCAAAACGTATACAAAATTATTTTATTATATTTTTTAATCACCATATTATATTATACTATATTTATTTGTGAAAATGCACGATTTTTATTACATTTTTTAATCATCGTAATATATTTGTTTTTTTAAATTCGTATATACATATTTAATTATGTATAATATACATATTTAACCCTTTCCGCAGTAAAACACACGTACGTACCAGGTTTTTAGTTTTTACCGTGTAGGAACTTACATACGTACCTTTTCCCGTCGTGTAGGAACTTACTTTCGCCCTAATATATAGCCTCGAGTATTACCTATAATAGGGTGTATTTTACAATTATTTAGTTGTAATAATAAAATATTACAATTTTTAATATCAATTACAACATCATAATAATATTACTTATATCATTTTTGCACGAAGGATCATTATGTATTTTATTTCTGACGAAAGGTGAATAGATCAAATTAATCATAATTATAATACCTAACATCTATATATATATATACATAATATTTAGGGTACCTATGCATAGAACATGTTATACATATACGTTGAACCAAATAACAATACAATTTAGATATAGTCGATTATACTAGGACACTTTGCACTTAGTACCTAGGATGACGGTGCCAAAAACTAATACAAACCGTTGCGATTATACCTAATCGGTACCTACCTATACTAGTGAGTCGTGACTTGTAACGGCTACATATAGGAAGGCAACTTGCAATTAATAATATTGAAATACATTGTTTAGTAAAAGCCCGAATAAAATTTAGAATTTTAGCATTTACTGAGTACAAACAGTAAAACGTAGCATTAACGAGTAAAACCTAGGTTTACCTAGAGATCGGCCATTTACGGTAACATGTATATACACACACATGCACTTACGACTCCTATCACCTATTCACCTAATAGTATATTTAGTGAGCAAATTACATTTCAAAATGCTGGTGTTGGGTGTTTGTTTATAAAAACGTTAATATACATTTTTAAATTTAGATAATTTGACCGATTACCAATTACCTATTATAGTGGGTATTATATAGTTATAAATGTCAGGGTTTGTTCGTAACACCATTTTAAATAATGATTACTGACTTACAACTTACAACTTACAAAATATTGTTATTATAATTTTGTTTAAAACTATTTGTTTAATTTTTACTGGAAAAACTTAGTATAAACTATATGTAAACTCACATTTTAAGTGTGTAGTGCGTATATACAACTATCAGTTGGCACGTGAGTAAAAGGTAACTATTATGCACACAATAATTATTTAAAATGTGATTCGATAGTTTCGATACAGATTTGTTCTGAGAAGCTTAAATAGTCTTCTATGGTTTAAATTTTTAAATTTTAGATCATTAGTTTGTATATTTGTGCGTCATGATGACTATATATACTAAATAACAGATGGCGATAATCGATTTTCATGAATTAAGATAATATTATAATATTCGTGGTACCTATTTAGATACACACAATGGACATTGTTGTACAGATATATATTCATATATTATATGAATGGATAATACAACTATGTATTAATATTATATATATACCTAAATGTGTGTGTATAAAGTATTAAACATTTAATGGGACCTATATAATATGTATAGATATTAAACATTTTATATGTTATCTTTATCATCTTCTTTATCCATATATATTATTTACCTACTTATTTAAGACTTAACCACGTCGTGTATATAGTACTATACTACTATATACTACCAGTAGCGGCTTCACAATCATATTTTTTTGGGGCAATTGCCCCAAAAAAATTCAGTTGGGTCGGTAATTTTCTTATAGTGTAAAAATATTTTCATATATTACTACCATTATTGAATAAGTAGTATGTTGATTGTTGTGACGGTATGATAGATTAAAATTATAGTGAAATAGGACATAGGTATATTTTACTGATTTAAGTACTCTAGGAGTCAGCACATAGGTAGGTATGACAAAAGACAAAATGCATAGGTGTCTATACTTAGTGCAGTAAATATATAATAGGGCAACTGAGAAGAAAAATTATGTGCAGGCAGTGTTTGGGGGAGTAACTTAATTTAATAGTTACAAGTTACTGTAAACAAATAACTTAATAAAAAAATTGATGAAAGGTAATTTAATCACATTTTATTGTAAATTTGTGAGTAGGTAGGTATCTAATTTGTAACAGTAATTTAAGTTATTGTAATTAAATTACTAAATTACTCTTTACATAGGTAATTGTTATTTGTTATATACATTTTAAGATCCAACTGATAATAGGTAAGTATATATTATGTAAATAGGTATATCGTATAAATTTGAATTTTCTGAAATTAACATTTTTGTTACCTATAAAAAAAAATTGTATTTGACAAAAAAGTTTTATTTTCATTAAGTTGTAATTTAGAGTATGCAATGTTATTTAAAATAAAGAATAACGTGATAAACAATATTATTAATAAAATAATATTTGTTAACTTTGGTTCTTGAAAAAAATTTTTAAATAATTTTATAGGTACTATTATAATAGGTTCCTACTTGATTGTAATTATTACTTAATGCTTAGACGCTTAGTTAATGTATCGACAACATAAGCATACCAAACTGCCTATCTATTAAGCTCTGGACGCTCTGGTAATATATTTTTAAAAATAAAAAATAATATGGAACTAGCTATTTAAATATAATATTAAGTTACTTTTTTTTATCTAAAAATTGATGTAAGACTTAATCAAATAGAAAAAAATTAACTTAAGAATAATTAAATTACTATTTCGAAAGGTAATTTGTAATCCATATATAGGTAATTACCAACAAATAGTAACCTATTATACTGTACGCTGGGCCTACGTCGTAGGTAACCTATGTTACCTATATATTTATTATTGGAAGGCGGAATGGTTATATAGGTTACTTTCGCGTTAATCATTAGATATTATGGTAAAATAAAATCGATGTTTAATATATATGTAAAAAAATGTTTACCTACATGGCTACGTAGGCAGGTTTTAATTGTATGTGTGTCTGGTCCACCCAGTTACCCGTTAATTATTGGAGGGCGGAGGCCCTTGGATATTCTTCAAATTTGAAGGCCCATAAAAAGCCGAATTGGAAAATGTACCTTTATATATCAAAATAATTTATGAATTTAGAGTCACAACTCGGATACTAAAATTATTTTTGATCTAATGACAATAAATCTGGATTATTCAAACCATGTGCATGTCATTCAAATACGTTCTTATATACCTACATTTCCGTACTTCCATGCACATGAGATTATGGTAGTATTTTAAAAACAAAACTTAGATATTTTACTAGTCAACAATATTATCCTTCAATTAATTTGTTTATCGAAGAAGGCTTCGTCAATAATTTTCAATAAAAATAAAACTATTTTTTTGCTAATTATTAAAATAAGCGTGCAGTTAAATTTTGTTTAAGTTTACACGAGTCGCCGGGGGCCATTGGAAAATTATTGGGCCAGGGCACTGTCTTTATGGATAAATTATTAATGTACGCGACGACTCCATCGTGTGTATGTACAAGCAAAGTACAAGGAAGGAACAACAAGCATTAAACGAAACCATTATATCATTATAGCATCGGACCTTAGATAATACAGCGTTGAGTGTATATGAGTATATGACCGTGTGTACAATATTATCGGAGTGCCGGACAGCTCACACAGTAACAAGAATTATTAGAATATTGCTCAGCTACACAATACAGGGACGTAGCGTATTGCGATTATTTATTTATTTTTTTGTTCTTTTATCAGTTATCAGCATTCAGCCGCCGCCGTTGCCGCCGATTAAATTGTCATAGTCATCGTCGCGACGTCGTCATCGTCGTCGTGCGAGTGCGAGTGTGACTATCGGTGGCGGCGGCGGCGGCGGCGGGGACACCGTCTCGTACTGCGGTCTGCGATTCGTATCGCGCAATTTAGCGTCCAGCGCGCAACGGCGCAGCATTGCAGTCACTCCGCGTCTTCGCGATAAACACTCATCAGCGTTAATGTCAGTAATAATTATATTATATTTTTAATTGTCGTTAGGTGTATATTGTGATTGCCTATCATTTTCCATCGTAGTGACCGGTCACAACGATATTGTAATTGTTTTTTTTTTTTTCGCAAAACCGTTGTGAAGTCCGTTTTCCGCCGACGTACGACCAACCCGCCGCTGCGGTCCACACGGCGGCAGTAGATCTACGACCAGCGAACGTGCTCCGATCTTTTTCTTCCCCGTCTCGAGTCACGTTCGATTCCTCGCACACCCCTCGTCGTCGTCTCGGTTCGCGCGCTATTTGTCGGAGGAGCATCGGAGGTGGTCCACGCGGAAAACACTTCCACTCTTTTGATGGACGATTGCCGTCCGACAGTGTACCATTATTTTCGTGTCGATTGATATTTAATAATTCGTTATCTGTCACCAGTGCGATTGTACACCAAACCGACGCTGGCCAAAGTATTCCGACTTACGACATTCGCATAGCGTCCGAGTAAGTATGCCTACCTGTCTACCTACCTAACCATCGTTTTTTTTTCGAAACCATTGTTTTTCGATTTTAACGACCGACAGACACTGGGTAACATTGTTTTGCATTTTTTTTTTCACTTCACGTTTAAATTTCCTCGCCAACACAGGGAAGTCGTTGCAGACAATGTCTACGTTCCTACCTAAATATCACATTATAATTTGTTGTTTAACCAGCACTGCTCAAAAATAGACACAGACTCAGTATTTCACGTACTGATTCCTGTTCAAAAACTGTTCAAATTTATAACTAACATGTACCTACCATTTGTCTTGTCGTCGTTGATCGATGATAAGCCATGTCGGTGTATTTGATTGTAGTATCTTCATACAAAGCGATTGATTTATACATTGACTTTTTTTCAAGGTGTCACAACTACATATCAATATTATTCACAGCGGACCTAAATAAAAGAACAGTTCCAATGGATATCAAGTTCAATAGTTATGAATACCACATGATCAGGAAGTTCACTTCCATGTGTTATGGTAGTAGATGTAATGTCATCGACAGGATCAAAATACGCAACAAGATTAGTGTATGGCATGAAATATTGACATATTTACTGTCGCCTGATGGCGTCCTCAAAATTTATAAGGTTGAATGTTCACCAGGGGAAAATAATAACCTTGTGACATCTGACTCACAACCAAATTATGTGGTAAGACCCTTATTTTATTTAATACTAACCTAACCTTACTAGAAGTTCTTGAACTTTTTTTTCACATACTATTCATGTTCTTACGAATAAGTTAATTCCACTAATGCTTATAGGGCTGTTCTTACAATGTCTGGTTAAGTGTCGATTAACACTAAACAACTGATAACAGATTTTATTACTAGCAGAAAACCGCTGGTTTATTTTCCGTTACCTTTAACCGGAGACGTTAAGAACCAGCCTTAATAGAACACTATTTATAATTCAGTATGTAAGACCATTGAAAATTACAATATTTAAGTTTTTTAATTAATTATCAATGTAGGTAACTATGTGCGATGTGTGTCTCAATGATTACCATTTAGTGACACGGTCTTATTGATTTTAGATAGTAATAAATTGACAACATTTAGTAGCTGAATTTTGTTCTAGTAGCTTAAATAAATTTATTTTTGAATAAAATACCTATGTAATAAATATACATATCAAATATGTACCTATTGCACCTCTACTCTGTTAAATGATGATTTTATTTTCAATTTAGGGAAGTAGTTCAAAATAAAATAACAAATGTCACATGCATTGTGTAGATAATTCTTACCACGACAATTAGGATTTTAAAATAATAGTTTTAAAGAGTGCACAAACATTAATTGTACCTACAATTACCTATCCATGTATATTAATTTGATACAAAATGTGCTTTTTCAGATAAAACGGAAATTAAAGGCTGTGATACGCGGTAATGAGGGTCATATAGTGAGCGCAAATATTCCATTAAATGTAAGTAAAGCTGTGATGATTAAGAATTAATCACAAAAACAATGTTCTAATGATATTTAAGCAAAAAAATATATGTTTCTTAACTAAAAAAAGTTATTTGTTTTTTATTTAAAAACACTATTTATAATTTGTTTTTGTTAAGTAACTTAGTATTTCTTTCAATAATAAGTTTCATAATTGAATTTAATTTATATTGTTTGTAGTTAGGTAATCCATTACTAGATGGTCCAAGTTACATCGAAGAAACAATAGAAAATTATCCACTACGTTTACTGACATTTTTGAAAATTGAATTAAATCAGTATCGCCGATCATTAAATATTCCTTATTCCACACCACTGTCAAGGTATCTACAGAGATATAATATTGTTGAAATGCATTTGGACAATATTTTAAAAAGTGTAGATGACAGCAAGCTTCCATTTGAGGTAATTTCATTGTTTTAAATGTATATTTCTTCTATGCAATTATATTTTAATAATTAATTAATTTTTGTTTTAGATTTTCCAATGTCCGAATGTTAAAATTTTATCCCTCAAACACAACCATCTACGTCAGATACCAAGTGCAATTGGTCGACTATCAAACCTTGAAGTGCTTATACTCACTGACAACTTATTAACTGTACAATCAATTCCTTTTAGTCTAAAGTTTTGTGTAAATCTGAAGGAACTATATGTTGACGATAACCAACTTGAAGCATTACCTGGATTTTTAACTAGCATGAAACATTTGGAATTAGTTTATAGATTGGGTAATCGTAATTACTTCAAATCATTTTTTTTATGGTATCACACCGATTATGATCATAGGTAATTGTTGCATTCAGAGAAATTTTTGTTATTGTAATATTATAGTATTGTTTATTTATTTTTTATTGTAGAGCTCGTAAAGAGATTTGGAAAAATTATTGGATAAGAGGAGAAGCAGGTTCAAGACCAGCAATATCATCTCTCTTAGACATTTGTGCTGAAAAAATTTTTTCAAGTGGAATTAATTTTTTTAATGAAGAAATCCCAGAATCTTTAAAACATTATATGTCTTTAACTTACCTCAATTACAATATATGCAACTTCTGTAATGTTGCAACTGACTGTTCAAAACCAGGTTATTATAAATAAATATTTGGAAATGAATAATGAAAAACTAATGTTCTGTTATTAATTACAGGTTATAGTACGGTGACGTTTCTAACTCCTTATTTGGGAAATACATGTGTTCCATTTCAACATTGGGCGTGTTCAAAAGAGTGTGTGCTTGCAATCGAAGGACCAGCAAAAAAGTTACAGCTTGAAGGAGCAGAAAGACTGGACCATGAGTATTCTCATTATATAGCAACTTCTAATAAAACTGCTGAAAAGTCTAATATGAAACTAAAACGTAATCGTTGCTGTATAAGTTAAATTACTTAGTTATTCAACATGTTCATAAATAACAAATATTTACTTTGTTAATCATTTATATGAGACTGATTTATATTTTAAATATTTTAATTGTGATAGAGTGACCATTTCGGTTGCCAACTATTTAAAATATAATCCAATAAACAAATTTAATTGTAAATATTAATTAGATAAGATAAATAAAATTTGATATTTTTAAAGTGTCTTAAGTAAATTGACTTAACTGATTTCATAAAATAAATTGTATGATAACAAATAATGGATAAAGTAAAAATAAAAATGCGTATAAAAACGATCGAGTTAATGTTTTTTCAATCACACTTTCTACTACAGGCTTATATGCATATTTATGAATACAAAATTTAATTTCATAATTTACTAAATTTTGTAAATATCTATGAAAAGCCAAAATATTTTGAAAATTATATTACTAATTATATTATAAAAGATGCCTAGTAATGTGAATATGAATATTTTGTGAAAATGTCAAGTATACAGTTATTAATTTTTGCTTTAGGTAGATGAACAAAATTAACCTAGAAACATGTTCAGAACATAATTAAGATTTAATTAATACTTAGTTTATTTTTTATAATTACATTCAATACTTTTAACAATAATAAGTATATTAAGTTATTATGCAAAATAAACTGCCCGGACAATTATTTGAATATATTCATGTCTTATGACACTTATTTATTTAAACAGCAAACTGTTAACACTTATGAGTTACAAACATAACATATCATTTTTAACCCTTGTTTTTCTTTCAAAACAATAACATGTACCAGGTTTAAAAAAGAAATGTAAGGATTTAATTTGGTCTCATTTAAATCATTGATTATGAGTAGAGTCCGGATTTGTATGCATTTACATATTTGTAATGAGTGTATGCATTTCGATGGGAGTAAGAAATGTGGACGATTTGTGTAACAGATAATGCATAGAAAAAAGTTTATTTTGCATATAAATGCATATTTGAAAATTTTTGCATATTCAAGCATATTTTGTATAAAAGTTTATTAAACCAGTTATTTTGTTTCAATTTCATCGTTGAAATTATTAGTTCATTACATATTTTTGGGAAATAAATGTTATTCTCCGTATGTTATCGCCAGTAAATTGTGCACTAGTGCCCATATATCATTTCGTAATTCGCGTTCCGTAAATTTATAAATTAAAATTTTCATTTTATTACAATTTATAAATTTTAAATGCTGAAAAGTCGAAGCACTATTCCAACTTTAATATAAACATGGATTGCTCTTTATTTAAATATTTACTGTTCTTTAATAAATGTTTAAAGTCAATGTCTATAATTAAAAAATTAAGTTTATCTAATTTTGTTGAATTATTATTTATGGAAGAAATTTAAAAAAAATATATTAAATTTTGGGTATAAGAGCATATTTTTGCATATTATTAAAAAAAAAAGAGCATGTCAAGTGCATATTTTGAAGTTTTTTGATGCATAAATGCATACTATTTTGGCCTTTTTGAGTCCGGACTCTTATTATGAGTAATGTAAACCATGTTTGGTTTAGTCCTTTTTCTTTAATATTAAATTGGCAATTGTAAACTTGAATTTTGTTTCTCAACCAAACCACTGATGATAGACATAATTTCAATTAAACATAATAAAGCTAGATTCACAGTTACGATACAACCTAAAAAAATATTATGTTAGGTTATATGAGATTTATTCACATTGTATTATACATAATTGCTGTTTTAGATTTTTATAATAATATTTTAGTTTCAAGTTGAATTTTAACATATTATGCAAGTGAAGCTATTACATTTTTTGTTGCCCCATAAAAATATTTTCCTATGACAAAGAACTAATATCTGCCTTTAGTAGGTTTCAAGTGTACGAACCTTCAAGGGTGTGCGCAGACATTTTTCAAGGAGCAGGGAAATGTTTTAATTTTTCAATTTTTTGTTTCACTATACGATTAGTGATGAACTGACTAAGTATTGTTTGTGACATATTTTCTTTCAATTACTTAGACAGGGAACATAAAAATTATTTTTGAACTATATGTAGATAGTGTAGTTAGTTGAAACTTAGTACTGTATTAACAGTTATACCTAACGGTATAGTTAGGGAGATACATACAATAATATTATGATAGGTATACCTAAAGAAATATAACGAGTAATGACACTTGTAACTTTATGCATATACTATTATGAGCAGAGTCTGTCAGTCTTGGGTGGTGAGAGGTTGAAACTTTCTTAACTCCGTGTAATAGGTACATGCAAATTTTAAAATATAATAATTTATGATAATTATTAAGAGTGAATATTATAAAAGTTAAAAAATATTTATTTATTTTAATTCACCAATGTTACAGAAATACAGAATCATGGGTTTCTACAAGAATTTTATAATTTATCAAAAATAAAATATTGTTATCAAACCCTCCATTGAATTTGTATGGGTTCAGTTTTAATACAAGTTCCTTATGTTTTATCAATAATTAAGGAATATTAGCTAATAGCTAAATAATAGCCATTTATTTAGTTAACTGATTTCAAATGTACAAACATAAGTTGCGTTTGTGTCTTGGTCGATTGTCGTTATATATTTTGATTTAAGATTTATAAAAAACATCCGAATGAGATATTTGCATCTTGTCCATGATTTTATTTAAAAGTTTCTGGTACACTTATTTGTTCCTGTGAATAACATAAAATGATTTATCTTCAAATATGTTATACCCATAATTTGATACTCGAGAAATGCTTCAATATTAAGATACAATGGACTTTATTTGAGGATGCAAATATTTAACAGAATTTAAAATAAATGAGGCTGTTTCTAAAGTAAAATTAGTATCAACTATTAAGGGTATAGTCCATAGTGAAACTTGCACTATATCATTATATCTTATATATTATTTTAACAAATGCATATTACATAGAAAATAATTTATAACCAAGAAGCATTATTTCTTTCAATAGCCTACACTTATTAGCCATCAGTTATTATTAAATATCTACTTCTTATTTACCTAAATCTTAACTGTTTAGTCATGTAGTTTTCAACTTGAACACTGAAAAAAATTTAAGCCGAACCATGAAGATACATTCTAACTTACCACATACACAACTAACTTCATTAGCCAAGAGAACCCAACCAAGATTTGTTGTTATACATACATTTATTAAGACGCTACACCTGCATTTGTTGTCTTCATCTTACAAGTATGTATTATAACAATTTTAAGCTCACCATTCACATTTAGCTTCAATACTTTAAAAATGAGACTGAATTGAGCTATTATGAAATTTACTGGTGAGAAAATTATCAGTATATAATTCAGTTTTTAAGCAAGTTATTAAGCATTTATTGAGCATTATTAAATTGTGCTAGTTTATAAACTCAAAAAATTTAATTATCATAGAAAACTGACACACAGATAATGTTCTTGCCATAAGTTTCTTAATAGCTTGATTCACTCTAATTTTTAAACTAACAAAGCTAAACGTGAACCGCAGAGAGTAAATTTGCCATGTAAGACAGACAACAAATGCAAATGTGACACCCTCTTATCACGTACAAGCAGTTTTAAAAGAAATTAAATTTTATTTATGGGGTAATAAGACATATTATGACTATAAGACTAATGTTCAGTTTAAATGCATTTTATTTTTAAAAATTTTAAAACATTTCTTTTTCCACTTAGAAAATTTATATCATAAATAAGTGTTTTGAACATGATCCTCGTTTGTTTGCTGTATCTGTGTGAGCCTCATAATACAAATTTTTATGTCTTGCACCCAAAACTTCTTTAATTTTCTTTCTGAAATTTACGTAAAACCATATTTATAACAACATATTAATGTAAATGTCAATAATAATAAACTAAAAATTCAAATGAAACTTAGATTTTTTCAAGGTATTGACAAGACATGTAACAAGATATTTTATCATCCATTTCTAAACCAGAAAATGTATTAAACTTACAAATTTTGAATTGGAACCAAATTTTAATTTTTACTTGATTCATACACTTAAATTTGAAGAGCTTATAAATCAGATTACTCATTGATTTTTTGTTAGTATTTAAAAAAACTTTTAGACTAAGACAACTTTATTATTGGTTTTACAATGATTTTCTTATAAGAAAAAATAAAGCTTTAATCTTTAACTATGAAAATGGTTTCTAGTAGCAAATTAGATCTATTAATACTTTGGTTACTTTGAGGTTAAAATTAGATAATGCTTACTTTTTAAGTACTGATCGAAATAATAAGAAAGTGAATTAAGTTAATAAAAAACCAGTTATTGACAAAAAAACATTTATTTTATTTTACCTCTTTTAGATAATATGATATAAATTAAAAACATTCTTGTTCTTTCTGTGTTATTTACACATTTGAATTTTTTTTGATTTATGTTTATATTATTGTCTATGCTTCTCATTTTAATACTAAAGGATTTACAATTTAACTCAAATATCTTCACTAGTTTTTAATACAAGAAATTTTTAAAAAAAGTTAGCTTAAAGCCACAAAAACTCACGAGCCTCAATAATAACCACAAAACTTTGAAAATATATTCTATTATTTAAATATTACATTAATATTTGAAAATGCTCAAAATTCACTTTAAAATATTGCCAAAAACAAACGAAAAAACACAGATAACGTTCTTACATTTAAGTGCGATAATAGGTTAATTCACTATAATATCTAAACCAACAGCATAAAATTGGAACTGCTCGAAGTTCATTTTGATATATTATGCATTAGTAAAACGGAGACATCACTTGGAGTTACGTCGTCTTCTTACTAAACAATTAGTAGATAATTGCCAAATTATTTTTGTAACATACCCAATAGCTATAATGTTATTCCCATTCTTTTTAGATGCATTGTTTGTCCATACTGATATTTTAGTTCCTAGGCTATGTACACTAACTATAGCGCCATTAATTTCAGAACTCTCATACACTTCACCAACTATACTCATCATCTAAAAGTAAAAATATTAATACATTTAATTGATTTAATTTCATTAATAAGAAAAAAATTGTAGTCCTCACTATTTGTCTCCAATATTCATCAACAAGAGTGCATTTTTTTACTGGGGGTAACTGTAATAACCAACGCCCACCAGCACTATTTTTTGCATCATCCCAATTAGGTTTGATTCCATACTTAAAATAGCTGTAATGACTATGCTTTGCAAGTTGACTTGGACTTTTAATGTGATTGAACACGCTAAAATGTTTATGACTAGTATTAGTGTAAGTATTTTTGTTTAAAACAAAAATTTGTTTTTAAACTAATATACATCATAAAACATAAAATAAATCTCTACTTAGTTCCAAAATAAAATGATGGCACTTTATAAGTGTACCTATAATTCATGAACTTATTATTTATAAACAGTATTAATCTTAATTTTTTTTTTTATTAATAAAGAAAACTTACCACCAAAAATCTTCAACTGTATCAAAACTAGACATTTTATGTAAATTTTCTTCCCAATATTGACTCTTTTTTTCATAGAACCAAAGTGTCCATTTATTAGCTAAATAATGTTTATCATCTAATCGCATTATTGCAATAGCTTCTTCAGTTTCATTCAGTTCTTTATTTGCAACTTTTGGTGATTTGCCTGACTGATGAACAGGCTCTTTCTAAATCAATATAACATATTTAAATAATAAAAGTAATTATAAATAATACAAATTAAATTGTAGTGAGCAATCCCAAAGACTCACTCATTATAAGACATAGAAGTTAGTGTGCAATTGTGAGAAAAATTTCTAAAAATGTACCTAATTATTTAAAATGTCTAATAATAAATGACACTGTTACTAGAAGGTTGTGCATTAGGTGCCCCTCACTCACTTTCAGTGGTGCCGAGTGCCAAAGTAGTTTAATTCAGGGCAACAAGTAAAATAATGCTACTCACCAAATACCCCTAAAAAAATTTAAGTAGTTTTGGGCCTAAGCCCTTTTCTTACAACACCCTTTTAATTGTTCTAATGCAATATTTATTTTCTATGTTGTTGGCACTAAAGATAGAACAGATTCATTAATCTACATTCTGCCTAAATCTTCATTGATAGAATTACATGAGTAGTAGACATTAATGAGATATACAAATTATAACATATACCATGTGTTCAACACCACTGCTCACATTCTTCCAAGTTTTATGGATATATTGATTTTAATAGTTAGAGAGTTATGTTTTAGATTAACTATCTATTGTCAAAATGTATTCCATTTTAATTAATTTTAAAAACATTGGAATTTTGAGATAGTCATTTAAGTTTATATTATATCCATAATATGTAAAATAGATCAATTAATTAATAATTTTGAACAAATTTACATGTTTAAATTACAACCACAACTTTAACCAAAACCACACAGTATAATTAAAAATAATGCCTAAAAGTAAAATTATATTTACTTTAGTACATGTATTTATTATACTCTAAAATATATTTATTTTTATAACTAAGTATAAGTAAAATATTTAAATAGTTATAACCCTTATGGCAGTACAATAAACACAAAATTCAGTTTATAAATTATTTCAATATATAATTGCATCATATAAACTAATACCTAGGTGGCTAGGTATACCTTTAAGCTTTAGTATGTGTACAAACTAAACATTTAATTCTTATATTAAGCAGCACTTAAGGTTAAATATATTGCTTCCACTGATGGGTGCATAAAGTTAATAATCAGTGAAACTTACCTATATAGTAACTACTTAATATTGGAATAATGATAAATATTTAATATTATTAATATCAGGCCACAATACGTTATTGCTAGAACTTATGAATAAAAGTAGAGCATCAAGCATTTTTCAGAAGATAGAAGTCATAGTTTTAGGCTGACTTATTCACGCAAACATCTAATGTACCTAATACTAATGATCGTTGTGGACTTTTTCACAGACACATTGCCACACTTAGCCATTTCCTGTCTTAGAGCTTAAATAAGTATGTAGCTTCTAACTATTTTATGTTTAATTAAGAACTTAATCTAATTCGGTTTTATTATAAATTAACATACCTAGTGTTCAGTTTATAACAAACAAATATAACTTTTGCACAAACAACTAAAAGTTGTAATGAACGTGATACGTCGGTTAATCAATTACATATAATGTGAACCAGCTCGATAGGTATCCCGCACAGAGATTACTACAATGGTCAATACATAGGTCCATTTTGGCCTTAAAATCGTATAGCTAAAAGATATCAAGTTTGTAAAAAAAGTATTTCTTACCTCAGCCATATTCCGTATTTTTCCGTTACACTGTGAATTTTGAAATTAAAATACAAACGTGCTAATTGTCAAGTATAAACATACAATACAATTGATGACACGCTACGGAAGCCACTGGTTGTCCGGTAGGTACTGAAAAACGTCAACAAAACTACGGGAATGCGTTCTGGAAATACCTAAATAACGTTTAACACTTAAACCTATTTGTGTAAATTGCATCGCCAGTCGCCACTCGCCAGCCGCCGACCGATAGACCTACCTATATAGTACCTATAAGCCCCAAGGATAAACATAAACCACGATATTATATTATAAACAATACAGATAACAGATAATATAAAATAATGCTAAATTATATCAGGTTGGTGTTCGTATTCCGTGTAAACCGTGTGGTTAACAAGTTGCCACAGCGTACCAATAAATTAGTCGTAATTGTTGAAAATATTCAACTTGACATTCCGTCATGGCCAAATAACTGTTATTCAGGTCGTGTAACTATAACATACGACTGCGAATTGTACACCAAGGGTTAACTGTTATCTGTAGATATTTAAACATGACTAGTGAAATCGACCTTTACCTAAAAAATAATATACTTTGTATAATTTGGTGGATTTATTGTATTATGACGTTGTCGATTCGACGATTTTTGAGTGTACCAATTAATTCTACCACTCCACGAGTGTTGCACACTTCCGCCGGTTTTTATTGAATCGAACAATTTTTGACCCATTAACGGAGAAATAGAGCTGGCAATAAATTATTACAGTAGGTACGTACCTACGAGCACACAAAATCGACGGTACTGAAAGTGCATACGGGCAGCTGTCGGGGACATTAAACTGAATACGAAGACAAGTACTCCACCAGCAGCCGCGGATCCAAGGGGGGGGGGACGCTCTCCCCAAAACCCTAAAAATAGGATTGTACTATGTAGTATGTACATAAATAATATATTGAGTTTTTTGATTATTTTCGGAGTTCATTACAACCATCGACTATAGAATATTTTTAAAATTACGAAGATAAAATAAAATCATTTTATATTTATTGCGTAGTGACTACAGCGTCCATATTACTGTATATTCGATCGCCGTCGATGATAAACAATTTTCGAAGTATCTACTTAATGGTTTTAATTAATACTTCTTATAATTAAATCATGAAAATCGAGTATGTTTAATAAATCAATAGCAATGTGTATAATAGTCGTATAGACGTATACCTAGCTCAAAGCTTTATCAGTTAGGTACTGACTTACTGTGTTGATGGTCGTCTACTCGTCTACGATAATTATTTCCTGAGAAAAATACATAATAGGTACAGGTAGTTTCACTGAAATAGACGAAACTCAAAAAAAATATCATTATTATTGTTTAGTTTTAAATTAATATAATTATCGATGTGTCTTGTCGTAGTCGTCCGTCACTGTCATATCCGGGTAAAAAGAACATTATAAAATACCTAAATAATAATTAAAACAAATAACAATGAAAACCGACAGTCAATCGATAATCGTGGCACATCATCCGATTTTTGTATAGTGGTACCTATTTGACATTTGTGCATTTAGCATTGCATTAGTGGGTCATGTCTCGTGTGTACAGTTTGTAGTGTGCAGGACTAGACGTACTCTGTTTGTGATTTTACGAGTCACGTAACACGTAAGCATACTGCATTACTACGTACTGTTGTACTCAATACTTTGTGTTGACAGTTGTCGTTAATAAAACTGATTTCAGTTTTTTTTCCGTTCTTTTTGTTGCTGTTACGTATTATATACGACTCGGGCAGCTTATAGCCGTAAGCATAAAGACGATTTTGCGCCCCCTCCGTGAGCTATTTCTGGATCCGCACAAGTGCACCAGACACCTGCAGTTCACTGAATATTGGTCAAATGTACGGCGTAGATAGTATTAGACAAGATGTCACTATGTCTGATGTCATATCAATACATGTCGTGGTCAAATCGAATATATTTTTGTACTCAATGCAAAAAGTATACGTCATAAGTATCAAAAACGCTATTAATTTCTGAACACTACACCGTGATAGTGTATATCATAGTGTAATTAGTGTCATCTTATGGTAATGATATAATATGGTGTAAACAATATGATATTTGTATTCAATTTTTCTTGTGTTGTGTTCGATATAATGAAAGAAATTACAGTCTTTCTTGTAACGTAACTTTGTATCATTTCTACTAAACTTTTGGAAAGGTTTTGATATATTTTGTTACTGTACGTACCTACCATAGTACCATTATAATATTGTAGGCTGTGAGGCAATGGTGTCTTTTCTATGTTTCGTATTTTCAGTATAGCCAGTGCAGATGTAGTCTTTGGTACCCATATAGGTAGTTAACTTAAAAAAGACTCTTGTAACGTTATAGTTACTGACGCCCGGCATATGTATATAGGTCGCCAACCTAGGACCCGTAAAACACCGTACTGGTGAAGGAGGCCGTAGGATTTTTCTTAAAACTAAGTGGAAGGAATGAAAAAAGAAAACGAACGATGCTTAATTACTTATAGGGGAAATTTATTGTGGGCGTGGAGAAAGCTCGACCTGGCGTAAAACTCCATCATAATAAATTTAACACAAAAAGATATAATAAATAAGTAAAGGTTTTTTGAAAATATCGATAATAATAATAATAATACAGATTAGGTATTCACAGTCTGCGAACATACCACGCAACAACAGAAAAGAAAAAGGGCCGGCCAAGGCATACATATATTAAGTACAAAATGGTACATTACCCAATGAAGAGGTATACGCGCCTACGCAGCGTTTCCCTGCACCTCTTGCCCGTCGGTGAAGCTCACCGCGGGAGGGACCTCTGGTGGTACTACTCCATTTTATAATTGTTGCGTACAAAAATTATAACAAAAACAAATAGTTAAGCACCCGGTAATGGCCAAAAGTGTCTTAGCCGGCGTACATTGGACAACTAAAACTATATAATATATTAGGTAATCATAATACCAAGTGTCTGGGAAGCCATACACACTACAGTGGTGGGAGCACTGTCCGAAGTCCGCGCGTACACACCGCGGTGCAGCGAGAACACAACACCGGGCAAGTAGACCGCGACATCGGTGCGGGGTTCCGGTAAGATTGTCGAGGTGCATTATGACGTTGCGTTACACTCTCTATTTCAGTTACAGTAATAGTAACATGGTTATCGAGAAAAATAACAGACATGATGGAAAAATGTATCAAATCTTTTTTTAAATTTGAATAAACTTTTCCTTGTCTATACGCTAAGAGGACATCATACCCGTGTGTGTTGTCTCCGTCTTACAAATGCGAACATAGCAAACCGTACTCTCAGCAGATCGCGTTTAGCTCTGTTAGCGTAAAAATTAAAGCGAGTTGACCTCGTATAAAATTTGAAGGTAAAATTATTATTTAGACGGCCTCATGAGCTTTTTATTAATTTTAATTTTGAAGCGAGTTAAAATTATCCTAATGTGTGTAAACAGTTTACAATTTTAAAATACTTCTAACTCCCTTCAAAATTAAAATATAATAAAAAACTGATAAAGTCGTCTAAATAATAATCTTACCTTTAAATGTTATTAGAGGTCAATTCACTCTAATTTTTAGACTAACGGAGCTAAACGTGATCTGTTGAGCGTACAATTTGCTATGTTACACACTTGTACGACGGAGACAACACATACGGGTATGACGTTCTCTCAATTGTTTTTGAAAAACAATGAAATAAAAAAATAATTTGACGAGAATTCGTGATTTTCCGATTGAATATATCGTTCCGTAAAAAATTAAACTTCAGACGTTCATAAAAACATTTTGTGGAAGTACCTAAGCTTAATTTTTATCAACTTCATTTATAACAACTAAATACTAATGAGGGTCCTTGAATTAAGTTATCATTTTCATCGATAATTATTGATCATTTCACATGTCTATAACGACTATAACTCAAAACAATTAAAAATATTTTGAAAATTGTACCATGTATACGATAAATGCTAATTTATAAATATTTTGTGTTAGTGACCAAATTATCGATTTATAATATTATATGCTTGGACTCAATAACCGATTAAATTTAAGTATGTTTTTATTTATATATGTTTATAGTGGTTCTCAACATGAGCGATATCGGCCCCTGCGGATGGCAGTGAACTTGTATTTTGGCAGCGATCATATTTTGGGTGGTTGGGGTATGTCTTTACATTAAAACTGCACTGAAATACGGGTACTATGCACTTAACGACGCACCATTACATATATGTTATTTATTTTTTTAATCAATAAATGTCTTACGGGTAAATAGATAATTTCGGTGGAATCTATGCATACACCGGCTTCATGGTTGTAGACCTAAAGCCGTAGCCCATTATTTACATATGCATCTTATTATCATATACCTACCTATGTCCTACACTTATTATATAAAGTTGAAGGTAAACTCTATGATGATTATCGTCACACAAAATGTTGGGTTATAAGCTGATATCAGTCGCTTATTCTCTGGTCTGTGGACTATCATTGAGAAACTTGGATCTATTACTCGGTAAAAAACTTGAAAATTTCGGTGGAGTACGATTGCGCGCGGTGCCGGAATAACAAATAATCATGCTTTTGCCTATTCAAAAGCGTACGATTGCGCATGAAATTGGACGCGACGTTGCCAAATTATTATTTAAATATAAAATAATTATTATTATAAAAAAAAACAAATTTTTGACTAGCCCAGTGATATCTTCTAAATTTAATTTTTAGGTCAAAAAATTCAAAAAAAAAAAAAACAATTGGTACACGATTGAAAATCATCAATTTCGATACAAAATCACATTATATACAAATAATAATTTGGTTAAATCATATCTCGTTAAATCCATAACAAAAAAAATGTTATAATAAAATAATATTAATCTGAAAATTGATTTTGATTAATTATTTCGAAAAATATTCATATTGATTCAACTTACTTTGCGCCACCAAGCTTGTCCCTAGTGAAAATGTCAAGTTTTAATTTTGACATACGGAAAAACTTCTTTTGTTGTTTCAATAGCACCAATTTCAAAATCAATGTGTAATATTTCAATTTTAAAAAGTAGTGATTGCTTTTCAGATATTTACCGTGCACCTATAATCTGTGTATTTGGCAACAATGCTTAGAAGTAAAAATAATTTAGCACGCGCAATCGTACGCCTAAAAAGGTAACGCTGATAAGGACCGCGCGCAATCGTATTGCAGCCGAAAATTTAATGCAAGGTTTTATACCTACTATTGCTTACCGAACCTTATATAGTAATGACATATTGTATGCAGTGTCACCTAATGATCAAATGTAGATTTTAAAATAATGGAGCATATCGACATATCGTCCTCACAATAAAACAATTTCCTCACAATTTTTTTTTTAAATTCAGATTTTGAAGACACTATTTACCACCAAAATAACTGAGTTAAAACTTACTGTAAAATAATCTAGAATCACTTCTGCTTCGATTTTTGAGGGTTTAATGAAGAGGTGCGTATATTGAAGGATTTGGGTTTTATGTACGATTTTTTTAAATCAAAATTAAAGTTTAAATTTTAAGATAAAAAATGATTATACGTAAGTCGTCAGCCAATATGATTAACATTTTTATATTATTTTCAAAGGTTAGTGAGGGAGTATAAAAAAAATTTTTTTAATTGCAATAAAATTGCCTATACAAAAATCCTTTAAAGCTAAATGTTTATGTAAAAAATATGCACAATGAAATACAGTGTGTTCACTATTTTATTGCAATTTATAGTAAAAACAGCTTCTATATCCTAATATTATACTAGAAATAAACAAAATATTCATTTCAAAAATGTAATTATTAAATAAATAATAAATATTCAGAATTATAGAATACATACGTTTTTCCAGGACCATGGACTTATACGTTGGCGAGGATAGGAAACTGGAAAAAGGAAAATAATACAGTTGCCGGGGTGCGGGGAGCTTGGCCTCAAAATATGCCACGAGTACAATTTTTCACTTAGTACCTAGTACCTACCCTATCAAATTAGTACACGGCTAATGTCACGTAGCGCTATCTACCTTGGAAATATTACTACTCTGCATAATATACATTTATATTATTATTTGTAAAATATAAACATAGATACCTACCTAAAAAAAACAAACTTTTAATAATATGTAATAAACCGTAAAATTTACGGCGTAAATTGATATTGTAAAATATGTGTAAAGGAAATTTTATTCTATAGGGTTTTTGATTTATTTGCACCTGGTTGTACAATGAATGGCAATATTGTCCCACCCACCACCTCTCCATAATCACTTGGCGACAACTCCGCAGTCCATGACATTGATAAAAGCATACCAATGCTCATTTACTATTTAGTCGTTTCCAGTTTTCTCCATCTAGTCTGTTTTGCCGTGCGCTATGTTGTTACTTATTGACTGATGATTCGATATTATAATATTATTTTCATAATCAGTATTGCATATTATAATACTTTGTATTTTTGTAGTTATATTGATAGATACATTTAGATTGTTGTCTGTCGATATCCTCCGTTAGCGGTATACCTACATAACGACTATAATAATAATAATATATTATTATTTTTACGAAGCGGAATACCGAATAGACTACCTGACACCTGTTAACGTTTTAATTTTTCGGACGCCAGCAGTACATAAGTAGTTTCTTTTTGTTGTTCGTGGCCCGTCTTCAATATGTCTGATACGATATCCACTTCCAACCCAAATCTTTATCCTGATGATCGATTAGGACCTTTCCCGAGATCTTTGGCACCTGAAAGATTGGTCTGTAAGTAAAATATATATTTATATTATTATTATTTTAACACAAGACTACAATTTAATATGCATCTAAATTTCTTGAAAGTAAAAAATAACCCACTACTGATTCCATTTAGATCCAGAATTTGAAATGGCAACAAACCTCGACAAAAATGACTCCGCAGCAATGATGGTAATTTGACTTTCATTATTATTATTTTTTTCATTTGATTTCTTTTTGCATGATAGACGGTAAGTATTGAACTTAGTTAATGTTATGCAAAGTGGTGAAAAAGTTATGTAGTTGTTCAAATTTTAATAGTGTTCACATTTGTATGACAACTACAATTTGGTACTATATTATCTAACCATATATATTATACAACCCTACATTCTATGCCATTATTTCCAGAGATTTCATATGTGTTTCAAACTCTCCACAAACTAGTGATTAATTATTGTTTACCTTCTATGTAATATTACTTCCTAATACAAACTAATTATAAGACTAATATCATTGACTTTAAATACTTAAGTTGTTCTTACAATATTCGGTTAAAGTAAACAGACACTATTAACCGCCAGAATTTTGCGGGCAATAAAATCTGTTATGGACCGGTTAGTGTTAACCTACGCATAACTGGACATTATAAGAACAATCCCTAAGTCCATAATCAATGCTTATATTATTTTAGTTAGTGTTTCCTATTTCTCATGTTCACTGTGTAAAATATCTGCAATTGGCGTAATTTAATATAATTCACTATTTTTGCTAAAATACTAAATGACTAACATTATTGGTGTCATGTTCCTTGTATTCAATATAATATAACTTGGTCCATGTTTCAATTAAAATATAAGTTATGTCTTATGTGCTAGCATCTCCTATGGGTATAATTTCATATGTTTATCCAAATTGTACTATTTAAAATTTTCCCATTTTTCATCATAGGGACATTTATAAGTATATACCTACTTATAAATTTGAAACACAATTAACGTAGTTATTTAAAAATAGTTACTTATGATGCAACATGTAAATGTGTTTTAATTAATTGAGTTACCATATACCTATTTAAGAATATTAATAATTAATTCATCCAATCTTCAGTAATAGTAAAACTTAAGAATTGGTATAATATAATATTTAAAAAATGTTGAGTTGAAAATTGTTTATAATTTATTGAGTATATTTTTTAGAAATTGGTGGATGAACTTCATGAAGGTGCTGGACTGTTACTTTTTTTAGGTCTAGAATTAATACCTGAGGAAATTCTTACAATTCGTTTAAATACTTCAGAATATGGTATTGTAAGACAACATATCAATTCCGAAACACTGTATTTGGGAGTTTGCTACAAAATGTAAATCATATTATAAATTAGTTATTTACTTATACATAACAATTTAATATTATAATTTCTATTAGCAACGAAAGAAATAACCGTACATTTGGAACAATTGGTATCATTTGTAAAAATTTGGCGTTTTTTACATTAAGAGTTATGGGCTATCGGCGATTTGAAATTGTAAAAGTCAATCATCATAGGTAACTAATATTTGTGTATTATTTAAAAATATTAAACTTCATATATTAAGTAGTGTGTTTACAACCACAGTTAAAGGTGTTACTAAGCATCTTATTTTTTGTATATATATTAGTATTATATATTTTAATAACAATATTTAAATACTATAATAGATTTGAAAATAAATTTCACTTACTAACTTGAGTAATTCCTAAAATTATATCACCAGTTAGAAGTAACCAATACAGTTAACCCAAAAATATTTTATAGCTAAAGGATATTATTAGTACATGATCTAGCTAAAAAGGTTATAGTTGAAAAACATTTAAAGACTAACATCAATGTAACTAAATAAAAAAAAATGGTGATTGAGATAATGAAATTGTTGATTTTTACTTATTTAATATTTATCTGAAAATAAGAAAGAATTTATCTATATTTTGGTCAAAGAATAAATAAATAATGCCGCAGACTGGCAGAGGCTTATCTGAGTAGAACTTAACATAACTCTAAATCAATTGAGAAGTGTGAAGGAATTCATTTTTATTTGGGTTGGATTATAAATTTGATGATTTAATGCAATTATAATTTTTTTTTCGTAGACTTGGTCAAACAATGGCGTTCGCTCAAATCAAAATCATAAAGGATATTACATTAACTAATCCATACAACAATCTGCACTTACATCCAAGTATAAGTGTTTTGGGATCTGGTAAAATGTAATACATTTACACAATATTGAATAAAATATAAATAATGTTTAGTTAACATATTATTATAATGTATTATTAAATTTCTATATGTTTTTGTAAGGCGCAGTAACAGAGATGCTTGGCAAACTCAGTGGCCACCTTGGGTTTATAAGCAGTTTGATGTTCATGAATTGGCATCTTGCATTTTCAAGAAAGTTAAAATGTTGCGTAAGGCTAAATTGTTAAATGTGTTACAATCCATATAGTATACTAGTTGTTGTACCTCTTATATTAAATTTTAGATTTTAAAATTATTTATTTATTTTACTTTGAAGTAAACAATATGCATTGAATATTGAAGTATTGAATCATCTTGCTTGTAAATTACATGGGAGCGGGTGATCTACTTTTGTGAAATAATTGTTTGAACAAATTTACAATTGATATTCAAGCACTTTTATTTATTATATTTTAAAGGTGAAAATGTAATAATATCATCTGATCCAGAAATCTTGTCATTCCAATTAACAAGAATTGGTTTATTCAATGATATAGAAGTAAACAAATTGCTTAGTATTACATCAACAAACCTACGACTTCAACGTGAACTACAGTATTTGAATAAAATTGTAAGATATTTTGGAAATTAAAGTAACTATGATGACTTATTATTGTTTTATTCTAGAAAATAGTGGAAAAATACGTATGTGCTAGAATTGGTTGTGGAGTTCCAATTTGCAATAAGAACAATGTGTTTGCAATGTATCCTGCTCCACCACAGGGTAGTTATCAAAACTGTAGGTGGAAAAATAGCACTCATAGCATGATTACAGTAACGGATTTAGTAGATGGTTCAAACATATTGAAGTTGGAAAAAAAGTCATTTGAATGCCACTGTTTTCCTGGGTATAGAAAAGTTACTAATTTTTTGTTATTATTCTTTACAGTAATAATAGATAACTTAATTTTTTGCAGGTATAAGAGTACGAGCATCTTTTGCCTTAAATGTAATAGTCATTTGGGCTGGAGATTTGTGATAGACTGTAATGTGTCACTAACACCAACAGTATTCTATGGATTATATGAAACTGCTCTAAAAACACATATTTCCTCAAGTGTAGGTAGGTTAGTTTTATCAGACGATGTACCATTTTCTTCACGCGGTCAAATACATAATTCAAGTGGTTCAACATTGCTAATTCTTGGAGGTTTTCCAATGAGGTCTTAAGAAATCTTTTAAATTTTCTGTATTTGATATTTTGATTTTTTTTATACAAGTACAAGTATGTAACTCAACCATAAATATATATTATATTTTTTCTCATACATACATTTAAATACATACTTAATTCAAGAATTTTAGTTTGTAAAAGTGTAATTAAGTTACATATGTATTTAGGTAGTTTTAAATTAATATTTTATTATTTATGTCAATATGATAGCTAATAGCATATTATATTATTAAACGTTAGTAAAAAGCACATACTATTATTATAATTAGTAAAAACTTTTGAAAAATTAGAAAACTAATAAAATTAATATTTTTTCTATAAACAACATAATTTAATATTCATCGTTTAAAGGTTTTTTATTGCCAATTTTTTGATTTATGGTTTCATCTGATTTTATGTGATTGTACCTATTTCCTATAAAAAATATTTAACTAAAGTTCTTCTTAAAATTATTGGTAATAGTAAAATTTAAAACCATGTCAAAACATTTTAAAATTATTATAATATATTGTTATAAACTTATGAACATATATATATATTGTATTATATAGTAGGTAAATTGCACAATAAACAGAACTATTATAACAAGCTATTCCTGTCTGTTTGAAATGATGTATCATGTAGTAAGTCGGTCACATACCAACATGTAATTATGCAAGTAGGTACCAACTAAAATATTACTGATAATAAACTAAAAAATACAGTGGAATACCTTGAGTTACATACCTACCTTTTAATTTCGATGAACTCCCATTACAAGCACTGTAATGCCATCGCTATTAAGTGCGACTCCAAATGCCAGAGATCACACCAAACTCAATTGAAACTGACGGCAAGACTTCAATCCCGCCAAGACATTAAACTGGAGTCTGGCATTGACGGTGAAAACAAAAAAGGTCCCCAGAGCCATCATTGAAAAAAAATTCCGATCGGTTCTTCAAGCCTGCGAGCAATGCTAACTTAGCTGTAGCCTAACCCCAAAAGAGGGACAAGAGGGACCCTTCTCCCACCAAAAAAAATCTAGGACATACAATTTTAAAATGCTATATTGTAAATGTGTACAGTTAGTGTTTTTTAATTCTGAGCCCAATCTGTGGTTTTAGGAAAAAAATTAACTTAACGTGACAACAAAATTAAATAACTTATAAATGACTTCATGACAGAAAAAAATTAACACGTTAGGTTACAATGCCTAGCCTTGATTTTCAAAATATCATGAAAACTCATGACGATAAGTATTCGATTATCAGTGTCAACTGCCAAGTATAGATTAAGTTTTATATGTGAACATTTCTATAGTTATTTTTTAGTTCTATATGCAAGTTGATTACAATCAGAAACGTGCAAGAAAATAACGAAGGAAGGACAGAAACTGTCATTTTTTAAGATAGGTTATATAAAACGATCTTTCTAGTTTTTTGATAAATATATTTATATTACACAAGTGTTATTACATCTTCTGGAACAGGTATCTACTGCTAGTATGTTAGGAGCGTTGACTAAACGGGATTGACCATTTATCTCAGTTCACGACGATGTACTTAAGTGTACTAAATGTTATCGGTACCTTTTTGAATGGCCGTTTCGTAAGTACCTATTTGTTAAGTTCAGTCTCTTTGGTTTCTTTTTTTAAAATTACACATCGCCAATAATGAATGAGCCAAGTTTGAATAGTAAATGCATGAATGCACGATGCAGTTTCTACTTTTTAGTATCTGTTTTTTTTTTCGCAACAACGATAACATTTTATATGTATGTGATTATATACATTTATTATTTATCATTTGATTTTATAAATTGGAAAATTTAATTTCGGTAAGATTCTGACTTCTGAGTATTATTAGAACACCCAAAAAGATGAAATTTCAATGATTAGTCAAAATGCAGCTACGACCCATGGATATTAAGTCATATTATATTACATTGTACCAATACATATTTTACATACCATTGATCTGAACCGTGTAATGATTAAACTCACGAATATAATAATATATGACCCTGAGAATTCTCGAAACATCTGGAGGAAGATTGGTACCGTTATTATTTTAATATTTGTATGGGTTTTTGAAATGTATTTCATAGGTATACATAAAATACAGGTAAATATTTGTATAATAAAAATAAATAAATAAATATAAATCAACCAATTTTGTACATCTAAATCTAATAAAATCACATTTTTATTTTAATATATAATAGGTATTAGTAGGTACCTATAATATACTTAGTAGATTAAATTCATTTTTGTCGAAAAAATTGCATATGAAAATGTAATTATGTGCATAAAATATAATAGTATACGTAGTCTAAAAGTTTCAACTATCCACGAATAGAATTTTTAAATTACTGTAAAATAACTAAAATCGTTATTCTTGGTTAAAACCTTAAAACATGTAATGTTGTTCAAATTTGAACTAAAAATAACTATAAAAAATGATGTAAATGAATTTTTAAGAATATTTTGATTACCTACATGATCAACTATTGACGGGTAATATTGTTTTAAATTTTCAATCTTTAGCTATAAAAATTGAATATTTTATAAATTGTTAACTATAGAATAATTTGGGTGTTCTGAATTTAAAAAATGTTGTCAAAATTGGAACTTTATTTGAAAAAAAAAAAAATCGTGACTATGTGTTTTCAATATTTTTGAATTGCTATTGTGAAAATATATACGTTTTATTTGATTTTAAGCCTTTTCTAACAAATTAATGAATATTTTATTGACGTTTATAGAAAAAAAAACTAAAAAAAATTGAAAGTTGAAAATGTCTGTTTTATAACTACCAATGTTGTTAAAGTTAAGACTTTCAATGCTCATAAAAATTAAATTTGACTCTCCAGTTAACGACATTAATTTAAAAAAACTGATAATAATCGAGAATTCCATACGTCTATTGATAAGTGGCTCAATATAAGTCAAAATATTTTGAAAATGTTGTTTGTATAAAAAATGCTATCATAAACATTCAGTGAAAATATCAGGTATCAACGGTAATTTTTCTTACAGTTACATCAAAAACCAAAATTGATTTTGTCGAAAATCATTTTTGTGTAAAAATTCCCGTTTTATCTTAATTTTTTTTATGCTCTTTTGAAAACTACTAGGAATTTTAAATTTTGACCTTCCAAATGCACCAACTATAGATTCATTTTTAAACTGAAAAAGATATCGAAGTTGAAAATCGAAGACTTATTTCAAATACCTACTTATAGGTATAGTGTACACAGGTGCTCACATTTTTTTTTAAAAACACATTATTTTGTTATTTATAAATTAAATTCTGAATTTTCTTAAAGAAGCAAAGACATTTTTAGTATTTGCTCATCATCAAAAAGTAACTACCTAATATGTGATGTCTTAGACTCTCAAAGAACAATGAAACTTAGTGAGTAAAACCACATAATATGATACAATATGTTAATGCTTTATGTTTAGACATTTAATTTTTATTGTTTTTCACTAGTTGGGGGCTTAGTTACATTTGAATTAATGGTAAGAGACTAAAACATCATCAGAAGAAAGAAAATGTGTGTGTGTGTGTGTGTGTGTGTGTGTGTGTGTGTGTGTGTGTGTGTGTGTGAAGTGAAGATATTGAGACACTACGCTGTTCGTACAGCTCCAAACGGTCGTCTTGAACCTTCGGGAAGGTCGCCAACCACGAGCCGAGACTTTGTTAAGGGGCCTACTAGTGCATTTTTTAAGGGTCAATATTTAGATAATTTTTGTTTATGCCTCCCATGCCATTAGTGTTAGTCGTTCATGGTAATTAGTGTGAGTGCGATTGTATGAAGGTACCGGGCTATCTACCCACGGACATACGTCAACAGTACAGCACGTAAAAAATAAAAAGTATGATTTTTCGGGTTATGTGCAGGCCCCTTAAGTTGGAATATCTTGGATTTTTTTACCGAGGAATGAGAGAAAAAAGGAAATAAATAATTGTATGCATTGGTTAAACGGGAGGTAATTTTATTGTTGTAAGTTAGGGCCGAGAAAGCGAACGGCATAAAACTCAGACTGAAATAATAATAGGTGGGAAATGACATAACACAAATACACGCATAAACCATATAAGCCATAAAAACATGGTTTATTTGATGAAACAATGGTAATAAGTGACCACAATAATTGGGTGACAATGATAATAATAATAATAATTTTTAAGACAATCTCGCAAGAGGACACCATCGTTCGAAGACGTCCAGGTAGGTATGCACATTACGCATAGTCATAAAAATGTTTTGATTATTACTCACAAACCCGCTGGATCTATTTATTCAAAACATGATAATATACATAAAAAAAAAAAACACCACCATCGTCCACCGATTCTGTACACTCGACCGCCGGGGTCGCGGTTCATGGGTGGTGCCTACTAGCCTACTCCATGATCATGGACATCACGCACACTTAAATAAAAGTATATACAATTCGGGGACTGGTTGTTCTGGGTGACCAAGACCAACTGACCGGGAAAAAGACGAGAGTAAGTCCCCTTGGTGTTTTCTGTATCATAGTATTACCATGGATCGTGGTGGTCATGGCAGCGGCCATAGGGATAGCGGCCTAGAGCTTCTCCTGATTCTCGGTGGCGTAATTGAATTTAGGTAAATTTAAGTTTTACCCGTATAATATTATTAATTTGTATTAGACGTCACAATACGTATTTGTGTATTACCTACTCTAACTGCTGCAAGGCTTCTTGTGCTCGATGATTCGTATCAGTCGAATCTCGTTGTAAGAAGAAATAATCACAACATTGAAATGTAAAACTAATAAAAAAAAAAAAATCAATTTCCAGATATTATCACAATCTGAAGACCGAGCTCATCGTATAAGTCAATCGAAAACAATGAAACAATGATTTTGGCAAAAGGTACGTCATGTAGTAACTGCAATTTTAAGGATGACAGCACCACAGTTACTGAGAGTACCTTTATAAGTTGGTTACATTTTATGTCGTGCATTGTAATTTGTTATATTATTTATGTTTCGTTAGTGGCTGTTCATAATAAGAACTGATCTACTAAATCAAACCAAATTAATATTTTCGATTTCTTAAATGACGATATACCTAATTGTTGGATACAAAATCATTATTTCGACTTGCACCCACGATAACGCCACGACCGAGCTGGCCGCCGCCCGACGTCTTCTGTCGTAATTCGAGTATTCGACCGTGTGCCGAAGCAGGTCCACGATCCGGTGTCCAGTCGCCGCG